TGCTCTGCCTACTTGCATCCTCTGAGAACATTTCTCTGGCTCCTGGTGATCAATTTGAGCTCTAATCTTGTCCAACCCATTTTCTACTTGCAGATTTACTAGGCCAAGACTGCTCAGAACTTGAGAGTTTTCTCTTTTTTCTCCAGCAGATCATTGCTGGATCTCTGAGCTTTTAATTCATCTTAGAGTTGCTTCATGAGTCCATTTATTTATTTTTTTTGCAAGTTTATGAAGATCAAGGTAGGTATAGACTTTGCAAAGACAAGTCAAAAACTGTCATCCTAAATTGCCCGTATTTAATGATGGGGTAATTGAGTTTTCTGTTTCAACCTGAAGGTTCTTATTCTCAACCCTGTGTTGTTCCCTAAGCCACTGGTATATGTGTGTGAGAGAGGCACAGTACCTGCCTGAGCAGCTCAGAAACTGAGGAACAGGATTGAGGATGACAAAGTCCCCAGAGCTCATAGGCATTTTCAGAGCCTAAATAGACATTTCAAGTGACCCTTGTAAGGTCCAGTGGCAGGTGGGTCTCACCTCTTGGACTGATGTGGTGGTGATTAGGATGAAGACAGGGATGGGGAACAGAACATGCCCAGGGAGGCTGTGGCTGCCCCAACCCTGGCAGTGTTCACAGCCAGGTTGGCTAAAGCCTTGAGCAACCTGCTCTGGTGGGAGGTGTCCCTGCCCAGGGCAGGGGGTTGGGGCTGGATGATCTCAAAGGTCCATTCCAATCCTTTAACATACTATGATACTAGGATAATCCAAGGGGAAATGGTCAGTGAGTGAGTCCTGTGTTCTACAGGAGTGCATTTGTCTATCCTGGAGGTGGGACAAATGCTCTTACTGGTGACAAAACACTGCTAGTGTGCAAAGCAGTGAACAACTGAGCAAGGACCAGGGTGTGTGATCACAGCCAGAGCTAGGGCAGACAGAGAGGGTTGGTTGGTTGGTTGGTTGAATTACATTTCAATGCCAGAACAAGTACAGAATGAGATCAGTTATTTCAGAAGTGAAGGCAGTTGTCCAGGACTTCTTTTCCCAGACACTGAGCCTGTCACTTGGCTTCAAAACCAATTGAAATCATGTTGGCAGCTGTGAGGTAGCAGGAAGAGGTGGGATGGCCACAGGAAATGTCAAAGCTCCTCCTCTTCTCCTATGCAGAATGATAGGCTATCACAAACATCATCTGCCCTTGTTATGTTGTGTTTGCTCTGAGAAAAAGGGGGAAAAAAAAGATTTTCTCTATCATGGAAAGTGTTTTTAGTGTCTTCTGGCAACCTTCAACTGGGATTTGGCCAGTTGTCAGTGGCACTGCTTAAAACTCTCAAACTCCAATATAGCTCCTTAGTTATGTGCTTGTAAATCTGTCTGTGCTTTTGTTGTCTGGGATCTTAATTAGGCTCAGAAATTTTCTTCAGGGCTTTTATTACCAAAATAACCCTGTAGACAACTCAAATGCCCTTAGCTGCTGAGTGCCAGAAACCCAGTGCTTGGGGGTTTGTACTTATTCCACTGATTGCTCAAGTGTAGGTTAACTCAGCCAAAGGCTGAGCCTGAGCAAAGTTTAAGTAGAATGAGGCCAAACTGCAAATAACTTACAAATTAGTGTAACACACACACTGAAATGTGCGAAGAAAATAGAGAAGATGTTTCACTAAATATTACGAGTTTGTATGTTGCATGAAAGCTTTGCAGGAGGTGAAGAAGAAATGGAAGCTCAGAGATTGCCCTTTCTGTACCTTCCCAGGATTCCTCGAGTACATATCTTACTTTGCATTAGTGTGGAAATGGCATTGATTTGGGGATACTTTTTGCTGTTGTAATTGAATTTATTTTTAAATGGCACTTGAAGGAGCTCTGTATTGCCTATCCAGAGGGTTTAGGTTTCTCCAGCAGGAGCTACATAGCAATAAAGCTTCCTAAAAGTAATATATGTATCTCCAAAATGTCCCTTTAAGCATTGAGCTGCAAAGGCTTAATCTGTCTCCCTCATATCACCTGCACACATTTTTGTGCAGCAGCTTCTGCTGTTTCTTTATATCAGGAATATGAAAGGCTTTGCTAAATGAATAGTGACTCTGCCTTCAGTGCTGTGCAAACACCCAGAGGTAATCCAAGCACCCCAGAGCCAAACCAGCATTCCTGGGGCACCCCAGGGCAGCCCTTGGCTTCACTGGGAGCTTTGTTTGTGGAAATAATGCCCAATTGTGCTGGCACTTGTGCAGTTTGGCAAGGGAAATGAGAGTGGGTTTTGGAATGAAATCATGAAATATATATATACTGGCATAAAAAGGGAAAATTACACTACTTATGGGTAAATGTAAACCAAGATTTAAAGGCACCAAGTGCAACACTGAGAGGCAAAGAGCCATGCAGTGACCAGGGGGAGGTGGGAAAGCATAAAATGCAGGTTTTCCTTCATTTTCCTCTGTCCTTTAGCTGGGCTTCTCTTCAGCTACGAAAAGATGAATTTATGCCATCAAACAGGATTTTCTGCAGTTAAAAATGACCAAAATAGATGACTTAACAGGCCCCAAGTGCCTGGTGGTCATGACTGGGTGAGGAGCTGCACATCTTGAACCTGTTAGACTTTTCCATGATGAAGCAATCTCTGGTTTGTTTGCCTTCTAACAACAATGCTGGCGGATGAGTTAAGTAGAAAAGCAGGACTGAGATGTTTCTTTGTTCTGGTTGTTTTTTTTTGTTTTGTTTTGTTTTTAAATAAATGTTCTTTTTTTTTTTTTTAGCATCTTCAGCGTCTTCATCTCTTCCACCCTCCAGCAGCAGGTGGAGCCAGAAGCTCAGCTTTAAGCTGCGAGTTTCCAGCTGGCTGTAGAGTTTTTGGAGTTTGGGACTGCTGGGGACCTGCCTTTGGTCTTTGCTAATGCCAAAATGGGGCACAGACTTCAACCTCATCTCTGAGTGCTACCCCAGTGTGTAACATTTGCTGTGCACTCTTGTGGCTAGTCTTGTGTGAAGGGGATTGTACAAAGAATTCCTATCCCCCTAGCATGGCAAATGTCCTGTAATTCCCACTGATAGAGATGTAGGGAGAGCTGAGAGGGGAAAAGAATTACTTTCCTTCCCACAGCACTGAAGTTGAGCGAAGGAGAAGGTGCAGGTTTGAGACAAAGTTCTAAATACACCTTTAAACTCAGGCACTGCTTTCCCTGTGCCTCCCTGTGGTGCTTCAGTCCTGAGTGAGAGGCTTAACCAGTTGGAGTTGCTGTGTTTGTGCAATAAAAAGAGGTGTTTTACTGGA